TTCTAATCTTAATAAGTTTTTAGAAGATTTATGTAATAAATGTATATTCACATATGCATTAATCTCAAGTATCTAACATGTAGTTGACGGGTCATGATAGAAGAACCCGTTTTTATCGAGATCAATAGGTGACTGCCAAATGACCAACAACATCTACTCACATATGTTTGCATAATCAAGTTGTCCTTCATAGGATGCTATCAACGGTCATCATGAGTCAATTCATGACTCATCACTAGCGAGAAAATGAGTCAATCACATGGGCCACTTGATATCATCTTGGGCAGATAGCCTCATTCATGCTCTTCAATCCCAAATATACATAGTCAATTGGATGATGGTGGTCAGTAGGACCATAGTTGTGCTGAGCTGCTTTAACCTCTCCAGCTTCAACACACAGCAGGGTACCTGAAACAAACAAAAATCCGACACAGGCGAAAAATATATAGTGAAAGGAGAAGAGTCAATGCAGGTAGCTTTTCTCGTTTCATTTTTTTTCTTTCTATTTTCCCTTATAGCAGTACATAAAAGTAGTACTTTAAATAAACTTATATTGTGTAGATTAGATAGTTAGAGATGAACAGTCCTGATGAAAAAAATCTGATAAAGTGCTCCATTGTACAGATGTAATGGAACCATAATTTCAACATAATATGTTGGCTTGCTTATCACCTCCCCTCAAGCTAGTAATTGGTTCATTAATGGTAAGCTTATTGCGAAGCTCTCAAAAATGTTGATCAGACAACGCTTTTGTAAATAAATCGGCTAACTGATCATTAGTGTGAATATGAGACACTTGCAATGAGTTGTTCTTGATGCACTCATGAACAAAACGAAAGTCTAGAAATGATTGTTTGTGAGAGCAATTAAAGAGATATTATCATAAAACAATGGTGTAGGAAATGAAGAATCAATTTGAAATTCTTTTAATAGTCTTCGAAGCCAAATAATGTCTATGACAGTCGTAGCAAGAGCTTGATATTCTACTTCAGTGGATGATCTGGCAATTGTTTTCTATTTCTTGACTTGCCTAGAAATAAGTGTACATCCTAAGAAAGCATAAATTCCAATCATAGATTTTTTATCATTGGGATCACTAACTCAATCAAAATCAGAATAATAAGATAAACTAAGAGCGGTAGCATTAATGGGCAATTCCAAAGGAAATAGTACCTTTGATGTATCAGAGAAGCCGCTTAAGAAGCTTGAAATCATCTTCTTGAGGTTGATGCATATGTTGACAAAGTTTATTAATTGTGTAAGAAATATTAGGCCTTATGAGTGCTAGATATTGAAGAGTGCCAAGTTGCTTGAATAGTTCGATCTGAGTGGGTAATGGTTAGGAGGAGCTTAAGGATGATTTGGAAGAAATAGGTGTGGATATTGGCTTACAATCAATCATACCAACTTTGTAAAGTAAATCAGCAGCATAATTGGATTGGGATAGATGGAGACCAATTGGAGAGTGTAATAATTGCATTCCCATAAAGTAAGAAATTATGCCAAGACTTTTCATATGAAATTTGTGATGTAGAGCTAAAATAAGATTCTTGATTAATTGTTGAATCATTATTACCAGTGAGTATAATATCATCTACGTAAATCAAAATATAATGAACTACGAAGTCCTTGTGATAAATCAACACAGATAGGTCGGTTATTATATGAATGAATCCATATTGAAGAATATATGTTGAAAAAGTCTCAAACCATTATCTCGGTGATTGTTTTAAACCAAAGATAGACTTTTGTGATAAGAAAACATAGTCTGGGTGTAAGGAATCATTGAATCTGGTTGGTTGAGACATGTAGACAATGTCATTAAGATTTTCATGTAAGAAGGCATTTTATACATCAAGTTGAAGCACCTGCCATTTAAAAGTACAAGCTAGATGTAGGACATGAATAGTTGAAAGTTTAGATTAAAGGTGTGAAGGTAATCAAGGCCATACTATTGATTGCAACCTTATACAACCAAACGAGACTTATATCTTATAATAGTGCTATCTAAATTAAGTTTAGTTTTAAAGATCCATTTGCATCCCAAAACATTTTGATTTGAAGAAGGTGGAACTAATTTCCAAGTGCTTTGTTGTTGAAGAGCTCCAAACTAATTGGACATTGCTTATCGCCAAACTAAGTGTTTGACTACCTTAGTATAGCCTGTCGGATCAGAAGTGACAATGGAAGAGTTCATACTTACAATATGCGTGGGTTTAAGTGTGTTAGTCTGAAGCCTTGTAACCATGGGGTGAAGGGATTGAGGTTGATGTGGTGGAGCTTATGCAAATGGTGGTGGGGAAAAATAAGTGGATTGAGGCGAAATAGCGAGAGGAGAAGCTAGTGGGTGTGGTTGGGATAGTGGTATAATATGGTGGAGGAGGTACAATGTTGGTTTGAATGGGTAAGTCTGGTGTGGAAGAAGATTTTGGCTGGGTAAAAATTGGAATAAGTAATGGCGGGGTCTTGTAGTGGGTAAGAGGTATTGGAGGATATATGGGAGAATGTTGTGAAAAGGGAAATACATCTTCAAGAAATTTGACATGACGAGATTTAAAAATTTTATCAGATTCAATGTGATAACATTGGTATCCTTTTGTAGTATAGGCGCAACCAATGAAAACACATGACAAAGATTTTGAATGAAATTTGGATAGAGAGATGGAAGGAGAAGAAAGGGGTAACAAAGAAAACCAAATGTCGTAAGAAATGAATAATCAGGATATTTAGTGTAAAGTAATTTAAACGGAAAAGAAAACATTTAGATAGAGGTGGGAGTCTATTTATTAAATAGACTGATGTAACAACAACATGGACACTATTGTAACAACAACATGGATCTAGAATGAAAGAGGTAGATTTACTTTAAGAAGTAAAGTACAAGTCATTTCATGTGATGGTGTTTATGTTTAGCAATGCCATTTTGTTTTGGGGTATATGGACATGTTATTTGATGAAGAATGCCACAATGAGATAGAAAAGATTAAAAATATTTTGAGGCATATTCACCACCACCATCTGAACAAAAATATTTAATAGTTGTGTTGAATTATTTTTCAACCAATGACTTATATTGACAAAAAAATTGAGCAACCTCATATTTAGCTTTTAAAGGATAAACCAAATGAAAAACAAGAGAAATCATCAACAAATAAAACATATATAGTATTTAAAACCATTTAAAGATAAAATTGGGAAGGTCCACATAAATCACTATGTATAGGCAAAGGATGGGCTCTGGAAGAGCTACTTTAACTTCTCCACCTTCAACACAGCCATGTACTAGAAACAAAAAGAAACCAGACACATGTGGAAAATAAGAAAGGAGAAGAATTAATGCAGGAAGCTTTTCTCATTTCATTCTTCGTCTTAATGTTTTCCCTTACAACGGTACATAAAGTAGTATTTAAAAATAGATTTATACGATGTAGATTAGGTGGTTTGAGTTGAACAGTCCTGATGCAAAAATCAGATAAAGCTAAGTACTATGCTATACAGATGTAGTGGAAGCATAATTTCAACTTGATATGTTGGCTTGCTTATTAAGTTGGAAGGCAATAGAGGTCGGAAAGATTGTAGTTAATGATGGTGGTCAGAATAGCCGTAGTTGACCGACGATAGGGGTTGAGGAGACTGTAGTTGGGTGATTGTGATCGAAAAGACCAAAGCTGGGTGTCAGAAATACCACAGTCATAGGGCGACAGATGATAGGAAGGCCTTAGTATGGAGACATTTGGTAGCTGGGAAGAAATCTGATGATAATAAGTGGCTGGGCGTAAGTTCAATGACAGTTGGTGGTGAGCTGAAGTTGCTCTGGCCAAAGTTTGGCAATGGTCAGTGGCTGGGCAGTAGTCAAGGCGGATCTTGGTAACAAGAGAGATCTCAGATTTCTCTTCCTTTTTACTCTTCTTTCCCTTCCTTCCTCATCTTTCCCTTCCCCCCATGAGAAATGAGGAATCTAATAATAGTTTTCTGTGAGAGAAAAGACTAGTAAATAGGAAGAAGAACAAGGGCACGTTGGGAGTGGTTCGAATGTATGATCAATATCAATTTCAATATCAATTCCCTTAAATATAAACCATTTATTTAGTATTTGAGCGCCTTAATGATGCCAAAATTTGGCAATCTTGTACTTGTTGGAATTATCTCGTCAAGCCACTCATTATTAAGTTAAGCATGTCACATTTAGAAATTATTTAGTTATCCAATTTACGATTTTAACCTTCTAAATGCACTTCAGGTCATCAATTTGGACCTATTTGGCAGATTGAGTCAAATTTGGTGTCATTGGTTTCTTCTTTTTCGAGACGTTCAATTTAACTGTAAGTTTGCTGAAATCGGAGTTCGGATGATCCAGGATTTAATTTTAAAAGTTCTCAACTCAAATTGCCTCGAGATTCCTTCCCGATCAAGAAATTTTTTTGAAGATTTATCATTATTTTAAATAAATTATTTATAATAATATTTTTGACATAGTTTATGATTTAACAGTTATTTAAATAAATATAAATATATAAATGTATATATATATATATAACAATTTTTTGATGGAGATGTTAAACCGCAAAATTATTTTATATTTCGACCCTACCTCTTAAAATATTAATATCTTTCAGATGAATTTAACCTGAAATTATATCAAAATCACCGAATTCCGCTCGAAGCCGCCAAAACCTAAACAGCCAATTTAATCCACCCATGTTTTGATGTCTCCCTCTATATCCTTATTACCGAGTTTATTTACGCAAATACCTGAATCTCCAGCCAGCGCCACAGTATCAGCTACACGAAACATTAGTATCAATCAATTACAGCTTGACAGAGAATCCAGACCGTCCAAATATTGTGGGGCCTAATGCTACGACAGCTGTGATCCTGCGCATCTTGCAGCAGAAACTCTTTCTGTAATCGTACACAGCCACGGCAAAGTCGTAAATACTGTAAATAGCAAGGTGATTTAAAAATCAGGTTATTCTATAATTGCTTCGTAGGTCTTTTAGCTTGCAAACACTAATACTCTTTTGTTTGCACGCCAAAGAGAGCGCTGTAGTAAATAGGCGCGAATTAAGAGAGCTGAAGGCCAAGAAAGCATTGTGTCGACTTAGCAAAATCATAGAGAGACAAAGAAAAAATTAAAGATGGGTTACTGGAAAAGTAAGGTTCTTCCAAAGATCAAGAAAGTATTCGAGAAAAATGGAAACAAGAAGGCCGCCGCCGAGGCCTCCAAGTCCTTTGATGACTCCAAGGTCTCTCTCTCTCTCTCTCTCTCTCTCTCTCTCTCTCTCTCTCTGTGTGTGTGTCTAGATCTCTATGTATTTTATCTAAATGATTTATTTCATGCAGGAAGAGATTAACAAGGAATTGGAAGAGAAGAAGACGGAGCTCCAGCCCAAGGTTTTGGAGATATATGAAGCATCCTCAACTGAGATCAAGGTACCTCTTTTGAAGTTGAACTACTCGCCTAGATGGATCTTTCTGTTCTTCATGGTTTGTTAACAAAGCTAATTACTTTATCGAATTCTTAAGCAGGCTTTGGTCAAGGAGCGTCATGAAGCCGGGGTAAAGAAGAACTCCACTGCTGTCACCACCTTTCTTGAAGAACTTGCAAAGATTGGTACGCATAAATGCTTAGCAAACGAAAACTATGTTGATAGGCTTTTAAATTTTTAATTTATATTAGAATTAATGTTAGTTATGATATTTTTGAATTGTATAAAGTAACCTAAATATTTGTATAACTTGACTTGCCAGACTTCCCTGGCTCGAAGCCTGTAAGCGATGCCGTTTCCAAGTTCGGCCCGGCCTACGTCTCTGCACCCGTAGTCTTCATTCTTGAGAAGGTCTCCACCTTCCTTCCGCCGGAAGAGATCTCTGTGGCCAAAGAGGAGAGCGGCGCAGCTGAAAAAGATGTGGTCATCGCCGAGGAGGAGAAGGCGGCAGAGGAATTATATGAAAAGATTGAAGACAAGCAAGTTGAAGAGGAAAAGGCTCCCTCAACGGAGGAGGCGGCGCCGCGGCAGCCTGCCTGATCGGCAGAGTTGGAGGAGGTTTCTAAAGCCTGATTTGGTGGAATATTTTTACGAGTTACCGCTCAACTTTACATGCATGGTTTATTATTATTATTTTCTTAAATTAATGCGTTATTTTTGTTAGTCACTTCATGTATTTAATTACGTTTGTTTCGTGAATTATTGTATGCATTTGTTGCTCTCATATGTAATTATTATTTATGAACTTAAAAAGGTTTGTATTTTTTCTTATGTAAAATTATTTGGAAAAGTTCAGATTATTTTTCTTCTCCTGCTTTAATTCTCTTCCATTATTCCTCGGAAAAAGTTGTGTTAAAGTTTATTGATAAAAAACTGGTCCAAATAAATTTTATTATATTTATTTTAAAATAATTTTTAAATTTTAATTTTGCTCTAATAAAAAATAATTAAGATATCCTAACAAAATTTTTCTCTTATACGTAGAGGTGTCAAAATCAGGTTATGGGTCTGGTTCAGGTCGTACCCTAAACTGACATACTATTTGACACCACCCGAACCCAACCCTTTTTTTGCAGATGGGTCAGAAATCTCAACCAGAATCCGACACATTGGGTTTCCGACTTGACCCGACTCGACACGAAAAACTAACTTCAAGCCGCTTAGGCTAGCTGAGTGGGAGCATCCGCATGTAGTTGCGGGAGTCTCGAAACTCGACGACCTATACGTCTCGCTTGTGGGAATGCGCGATGGAGGAAAGCAAACTGGAGCTTCTCCTCCGACAGGCGGTTGCAAAGAAATGGAGCTTCTTCTCAGCCCTACTCTAGGGTTTTTAAATCAGGTCTATTTTTGAAACCCCTATTTATACACATATGATTTGCAGAATTTCTAAGAATTATGAAACTACAAATGTTTCTACCAGCTTATTAACCGCTGTTTGCTGCTGCCACGTGGCATCTAAAGCGCTGTAAGTTTGTGACAACATGTGGAACAGGCTGATCAGTGTCTGGGTGGGTACGAGAAGTATTTATCGTGCGGCAAAATAACTCTGGAATTTACGGGAGATGGCAATTGGCAAAGGAATTCTGATATATAAATATAGAATTAAGAAAATTAATTTAGAAATAAAAATGGATTTCAATTTAAAATGAGATTCTCACTTTTTATTTATCTTTTATTAAGTGATATATCAAAAGCAAAACCATGTTATTTTAATCTAACTAAAATATAATTTTATCACGTTAACATATATTTTTTTAAATTAGGCTGTGTTTTCTTAATAAATAGAAACCTAAATTGGAAGGAAAAAATCTTATTAAATTACGTGTTTTAAATGAATTTGAAGTATTAAATATTGTAAGGAAGAAAGAGAATGGTTGACTATTTTTAAGCTTATCATAAGCTAAGAGAATAATTTTAAAATAAGTAAATCTTATAAAAAATACTATATTGTCATGTGAAAGAATAAACAATTATAATAAATAAGATTTAGTGGTATAGTTATTAATATATTAGCTGTTGTACAAAAATTTAATATGCATAGACAAAAGTTTGTATGACACTGATTTTTTTACTTCAGAAACCTAAAAAGGGTAAAGCCATGTGTTATAATAATGCAATATATAGTTACAAATACATGAATTTAATTTTCTTCACAATTAAAAAAAATTTGAGGCTACACAATTCACTACCAAAAAACGAGAGTTTTCGCAGCGGTTCGCCGGGAAAGGTGAAAATTTGTGCTGCGAAAACCTTATTTTTTGTTAGTGATTGAAAAATACAATTTGATACTCATTGTAGAAATTATAGAGGCTGAGAATCTAGAGTAGACAGTTGAAGTCTAATAATAGGGTTGGATATTAGTTGTCATGGAACAATAATTGGATGATAGAAATCTCATAATATTTGTACTAGTTTTTTATGATGATCATCAACATAATTTTTATGCAATATAATAATGATATTCAACTTTCTTAGCTGCTAAGCCTTTTTTTCTATAAATAATGAGGTCTTATTTATATCTTTTCAGTTCGAAAATTTGGCCAGATTTCAAAACACTCGATCAACTGGATCATATACTCTTGATCATAAGTCATTTTTTTAATTATTTCAATACTTTAATGACATCAAAGTTGAGTGATCTTAGTCTCATAAAGCCACTTGATTTGATAATGAGCAAGATTAGAAGATCATTTGGTTCCTCAATTAATACCCCAATGCTTTCAATTATACTTCAAGTTCTTCATTTAACTTCATTTGGACAAAGCACAAATAAATTTTTATATCACTCGGTTCATCCCACTATAGGAAAATCTGTCAATACCATCGGGCTTTTTAGGAATATAGACTTACATCGGAAAAATCGGCCGTCTAACTGGAGGAATATACGTCGGTAACTTAACAGCAAAATTTTCGTCGTTAGAACACCGACATGTATTCCACCTGGTTTTCGCCGGTATTTAAAAATTTTCCAGCGCAATTTCTATCATTTATTACCGACGAATATTACGCCGGCTTACTTAAACTAAACTAGATGAGTAGTACCAACGTATTAGCCGCCAGTAATATGGGCGACGGATAATCTGCCGAAAAACTCGACAGAAAGAGCCTTATTCTGACCCCTTCTCCATTTTTCTTCTCATTAGATGCTGGTTTCCCATAATTTTTGCGTTGGAATGCTGTCAGAAACACCGCCATAAACATTTATAGCATAAAATTTTCACCGATTTAGCTTTTTTGACGCCTGAATTACATTCAGAGCTTTTTTCTTTGAAAATTCACCGAAAAAAGAATTTTTTGATAGATTTCTAGTTTACTAGCAGATTTTGTCCGCCGGTAATAGAACATTTTCCTATAGTGCCTTGTCAAGAAATTAAATTCAGTTTTACTATATGTTTGCTCAAATCATAGTTCAAATGTTCCTAAATTTAATTCCATAAGTTTTAAATAAATTATTGCATTGTTATTCATGTTTATCAAGTGAATTTTTTTGTATATATATACCTTCTCAGGTTATTCATGTTTATTTTTTTATTTAATACTTTTTTTAATAATTCTAAAAGTAGAAATTTTGGGCCCAACAAATTCTGAAAAAATTAAAATACTTCTAGAAATTTCATTTCCTTTTATTTTAAAAAATTTTCCCCCTTTTTTCAAAATATCCTCCCCCCCCCCCTTTAGTCCTATAAATATGCCCCTTGGGCAGGTGGAAAATGCATCTCTTCTCATCCTCCCTTTTCCTTCCAACTTTTTTGCATTTGAGGCATTCCAATGCTTTTGGTAGGTGGCTTCCCCTACTCAAATTAGTGCCCCTATGTTATGTAGAAGTTAGAATTTTCCACTTCTTTCTCACTTTCTCCCCCATTTTTTTCTTACTCCAATGGCATTCTATTATTTAGGTAGGTGGCACCCCCCACTCAAATTTAGTGCCCTCTTTAGTATTGAAGTTCAAATGGGTAACCACACCACCACCAAAATTTCTTTAGTCAAAGGAGATCAACCTACTGTCCAATCTGATGGCCTAAAGAAGACTAAAAAAGTGGCCAAAGCTAAAGATGTCGCATCCATAATAACTAGTGATTCCTTGATCATTTTTAGGAAGAAATTTTACATCCATAATTATCTTGTGATAAAATTCCTTAAAATATGCTCATGCCTATTCCCCTCTCTGAGGATTTTTTACAGTGTACAAGTTTAGTTTATGAGCGGGGCTACGATTTCTACCTCCTCCGGAATTGATTGACATTTTAGCAACATGTGGAGTGAGTTTATCCCAGCTTTATAATAGAGCCACATCAATCATAATGGGATTGATCGTATTTTTCAGATATTATAGATGGGTATTATCTCCAAAGTGCCTTTCTCTAATGGGTAGACTTATTGGTGATATGTATGGTTATATCTCTTTTAGTTCTATGTGGCTGAATATTCGCACTTGAGACCCATCAAAGAGCTGGGTTGATGATTTTTTCTTTGTGTAGAATGAACGGAATCTCCAAAAAAATTGGAAAATTGAAGGATTTACCCAAGCTCATACATGTTGGAATAGAGGATTTATTGAAGATGCTCAATCTTCCTAATGTCGACACCCTTCACTTGGAGATATACTATTTAACTAGATATGTAGATAAAGAATATTTATTCAAGGTTAAATATAATACATCTACTCTCCTAACCGGGTCATCGGAAGGGCGTTATTTTATGTGACCAAATCATCTAAGGCGACTATCATATCTTCCACTAAATCTACTCCAACGTTTTGACGTATATTTTCATTTCTTATCATGTCTCTAAGAGTAAAGCCACTCATCCACCTGAGCATCCTCATCTCTGCAACACTTAACATTATGGTTCTCTTTTAATTCAAGTCTCGCTACCATCTTATAGTATTTTTCCTTAAGTTTGAGAGGGACTTTTCTATCATAGAACTAACTTAATGCATTCCTCCCCACTTGAATTCTACTAATTACATCCCCATCTATTTCACCATCACTCTGAACAATGCCCACATATATCTAGAACATGTACTATAATTAATGCCTTGATCACCCAAAGTCACAATCCACCCACTATATCTATTATTACTAAAATTACACTTAATATATTCAATTTTAGATCTACTCAAGCGAAAGTCTTTAGACTCTAAAGTTGACCTCCATAATTCAAGTTTACCTTCAACTCCCTCTCTAGTCTTATCAAAAGAAGAATATAATCACCAAAAAACATACACTAGAGTACAACCTCTTGCAAATGTCTAGTGAGAACATATAATCACGAAAAAGCATATAAAAAAGCACACCTCAGAGGCGGCGTCGCGTATGGGATCTGGCTGGTGTGTTCGTCGGCGGCCTTGCAGTTGGAGTTCGAGGGCGGCCGGTGTGGGGTCGGCGGCCGGAGACAGGTCGTCAGCAGTTGTTGTTAAGCCGCTCTATCGCGCGAGAGATGGGCGGAGGCAATGGGGGAACAAAGTCCGAAGAGAGAACAAAGAAGATGAAATGAAATGGGAGGCTCGGGCTGTTTCATTTTAGGGCTTTTACCGGCGGTTTTCTGGTGGCTGAAGCCACCGGTATTAAAATGACTTAACACCGACGGTTTTAGCTACCTGTATATCGCCGGTCATATTTACGTCCGATGGTTAACCCAGCGGTGCTATGACCACCGGTAGTTCTGTCAGCTTATGGTTGAATAATCGCCGGGTAGGCCGCCGGTATTAACCGGCGGCTAAACCGCAGGCTATACCGCCGTTATTACCGGCAGCTAGACAACCGCCGGTCTAGGCTGCCGGTAATAGCAGAATTTCCTG